ATGAGTACTTTAAAATTCTTATCCCCAGGAGAAGCTTTCTAACTGTAGTATGTAAGAAGTGTATTATCAGTTCTTCCATCTCTAGCATATTTTCTGTCAAGAGAAAAATGACCACAGTATACTCTCAGAAGGGGTAATACCCCATCCTTGGGACAAACTAAGTCCCTTTTACCTTTATTATTCTGTTCTATCTTTGTATCAGTCTAATGTTACTCATTGTTCAAAATCATAAATTAATGTACACTCAGTCTTTGTATCCACTAAAGTACAAGTATTTCACACATTTATAGAGGACCTCAAAGTGCCTTGTCTAGTAACCCTTGGCTAGTCCTTTAAAGGAATGGCTAAGGAGGTTCTCAATCTTAACCTCAGCAGAAAGTGTAGTAGAAAACACTCATGCCTCTTTTACCCTTTTATTGAACTATTATTCAGACCTTAAAGTCTTCTGAAGGTTCAAAAGCATCAAATTTAGCTTTGTATCAATTTTCTTTCCCATAGGAACTCTACCTTGACCTATTTTTGCCACTTTGTTTTATAGAGACCAAGAAAAATCTCACCATGTGCCTTGCCTTTCTTTATCCCCTCCTGAAAGGTTTAGCACCTTATAAACCCAACTTATATACTACTTGTGTTGACTTTTCCTAGGAAGGTATGAACAGATACAGTTCATTTTATATAGAATGCCAATGCTATATCCATGAAAGAACTAACGAGTTTAAATGGGCTTCCCAACAAGAACATAGGCAACTTATAGTTGCTACACTACTGAAGGAAAGAAATTTCCCTCTTTAGCAAACGTTTACCACTTGCACCTCCTATGCATAACTGCACCTGTTATGATTTTTAAAAAGCAACAGTCATGTAATCATGTCATGTCTAGAGGACAGAATTCTACAACACAATGGATATTTACACAACTTTTTAAGGGAACTTGTCATTAGTTAACAAATGTATATGTATATGTATATGTATATGTATATGTATATGTATATGTATATGTATATGTTTTCCATTTGGCCAAGCAATTTCATTTATAAAATTTTTAATTGAATGTATACATCCAACAACAACAAAAAAAAAAGTAAAAAGACTCTTGCTTTTTAATCTCATCTGTTAGTCTGTACCAATCTTGATTGAGAACTGGAGACTATTAATATCAAGAGATTTTATTGAACAATCTAACATGTTCATATAAAAAAATGGTTGAATAAATCATGGTTCACCCATTCAGTGAAGTGCCATGCATCAATAAAGAGAGTAAGAAATATCTCTTACTCTATATGCGGTGAAGTCTGACATATTTGTTAAGAAAAAAAAAAAGTAAAGGAGCACCTATCTATGGCATGCTTTCTTTTATGTGTGAAAGAGAAATAAGAACACAAACATGTGTCTGCTCATTGGGGAAAAGGTTGACAGATAAACAAGAAAATACTGAATAGAATAATCAGAAGAGACATTTCTCTAATCATATATTTTCATATAGTCATAATATTTAAAACTATAGGGCTTTTTCTAAGTAAAAATGACAATATATAAACTAAAATGTAATACAAAGGGAAATAAGTCAATCTAAATGACTGACACCATCACACTAAAGGAGAACACTTAATCTAAACAGTTTAGGCCACAAACAAAATAGAACTTTAAATTTTCCGGGTTTCATTTTTGCCATAATAATTTTAGCAACCCTAAAACTTACTTCTCTATAGAGTAAATAAGAATTATATTGTATAACTAAGTAACTTTTCTTTGGAGAACAGAGTTATAAATATAGATTTAAGATAAGGTGGGGAAACATCTACGGTAATAGACTGAAACTGGAAGGCACAGAATGAATCAATGGCAGATTTAGTAAAGGAAAAGGTTTACATAGACACGGGACGACTTTTCATGCTTCATGCATACTTGCTCTTGTTCTGTTTGCTGAGACGGTAAAGAAGCAATGGTGCTCCGCTAGCAGTGAGTGTAGTGTTCAGAGTTTTGATTCTAACCATCATGAGAAAAGCAAAATGAAAATGTGTATCTTGAGAAGAAGGAGAAGGAGGAGGAGGAGAAGGAGGAGGAGGAAGAGGAGGAGGAGGAGGAGGAGGAGAAGGAGAAGAGGAGGAGGAAGGGAAGGAGGAAGAGAGGAGGAGGAGGAGGAGGAGGAGGAGGAGGAGGAG